ATTGAGAACACCAATCTTCTTCATTTCCGTGCTTTCGAGTTTTTTAAATATTGAAAAAAAGAAAAGATACAGATTTTACAAAGCTCGTTATAGATTATTAATACGTATTCGCTCCTTCTTACTCTGTCACAAACAAGTCTAATTTTCGAAATATTTAATAGCAATGCCCATATTTTGATGCTATGTAGAGAAAATAACTATTGTTCTAGATAAGTGATATCATTGTGTTGTTTGGTCTGAATGTTTGGATTGTTTTTATTCATTGTTACTAATCTATGCAACTGAAAAAACAAATGTATTGACATGTGACAGCCACTCATAGACATATTTATGGTTTGATATTACAAAAAAACGAGACATTTGTATTTTGCCTTTTTCTCGTTCGGCTTTCAACAACGAAGAATGATAATATTGACGTACACTGTCGCCTATATCGTACAGTGGTAAGATTGTCTATTTTTATACGACAAAAGACATAGCTTGTGGTGTATAATATTGTCGTCATCATCACCCAATTTGACATCGTAAGAAAATCAGAAAGATGATAGATAATCGATAAGAAATAAAATTTTTATCATCAAAAGTCATTTTTGTTTCTTATAGTATATCTTTTCATCAGTTTTGATTATTTTGACTTGTAGATATTGCAAAAACTGATATCTTTTCACGACAATTTATCTGATGGTTTTGATGTTTTTATCATATTTCATTCTGCAGAGGTTGATTATTAATTAATGGCATTTATTTTGTACATGACTATTTTCCTCTTCTAGAGTTTACCAAAGACGAACATAGTCAGATATGCTAATCCATATTTTGTGGCCCAAATTGATCATAAAATTTCATTCACGTAAGTATTCTTTGAAGAGTTTCTCGTTCCTCATCTAATGATATTTTAACAAAGTGAAAGGCTAAACAGAATTTTTCTTTATTGATAGATGAATTTCATATTCGAAAAATAGTACTTCATCTCAAAGTTAGTGGCCTCAAAATTGAAAAAATCTATTTCATATTTTTGAAAATTGATCCTCTGCTCAGTTTATTTGTCATATAAATTCCTAACTCTACTGTTCAAATATTAATAAAGATAAGCTATCTGCTTTGATCTCAGGTTGATGAATAATCAGAATTCTCCAGACGATAGCTTTTTCAAAAACTGATCAGATTTCATTGCAATTTAGTCCGCTGTGAATTAACTCGATTTTATTCTACTAAATCTAGGTCAACCGTTTTGTTCAATACATCAACATCTAAATGGGATGAGGAGTGGATCGTTCGAAATATCCCTTTGAATGCGAAACTCTCGGTTAGCATTTATGACAAAGATGACGAAAAATTCATCGATGATTACATCGGAGAATTTGAAATTCTTAATATAATCAAATATCATTCTCCTCTGGATGGTCATGTTATTGTCGGTTTCTTCGGTCGACATAATGGTCGCTTTCATTTATCCGTTCATTCAACGAAATCATCGAACGAAACTCAACAACTTCCTCGTTATACATTCGATGATCCGTGTCGATATTCTCGTCACGATTCTTTAGTTGTCGACCATCTCACCATGCCTAATGCTGATTGTATATACTCAACATGGAAAATACAACTGCGACGTATTTCGTTCTTTTTTCCTCTTGATGAATGTCAACAATGGAACCAATACTACAAACCGGCTCAACACGCATCCGATAACTATTCGATGTCCTTGGTCACGCAAAGTACCATAAAACTGGTGAACAAAGTATTCTATGAACGAACGTCCAAATATAACGAAAGTTGACGATTGACGAGTGCTGATGATTTGTGGAAATCGATTTTCTTGGATAGAGCAACGCAAAAAATTAAACCACGTATTTACAGTTATGTAATTGATGACAGTGCATGGCAATTTGGCGAAACCGATTATCGATTTTCAGTAAGTCTTCCAGTAAACATGCTGTATTGGGCAATTGTTCCGAGTTTATTCGTTATGCGGGTGAATTTCATCTTCGTCCCAAATTTGGCTGGAATCGATTGGATGATGAATGGGAGCTAGTATTCGACAATGCATCGGGTACATATGCCCTAAATGCTGATTTGTTGGTAAATCTGAAAAAATTGTTATTATTCAATTTCCCTGGATTGAATGTTATCACGTATAATTACAAAGATCCAAAGCTACAAGAAAGCATTAAACAGTTAGAACTGGCTGCGAAGAGATACGAGTATAGTGCGACAACAAAAATTAACAAACTTGTTTTGCCTTATCCATCGTCAACTAAGAATGATTAGACTGTATCCTGCAAACAAAGTAGATCATTATGATGTTTTATCAATTATTTTGAACTTTGTAAATGTGTCGCCTACAAATACTATTGCTCAATCATATTCACATTTAAGAATTGAAGTGTGAAAACTATTTTTATACATAATTCATGAACATTTTACATACACAATATCATGGGTATTTCGATTGAGTTTTATTGAATTTTATCAGCTAAGAAATGTGAAGAGCTACAATGTGATTGTTTAAAAACATTTGTCTGCTCATCTCCTATTCGATTGACATATCAACATACGAAAGAAAAGATTCTTATCCTCCATGAGTCGCAAAATAGGGCATTTTTCGCGAAAAATGTCCTAAATTTTAAGATGATGTTCGAAAGTCTATTCTTTACAGAGAACATAATACGAAATGAGGGATGTCTACTGATGAAAAAATAAAAATTTTATCTCTTGCTTTTGCTTTGCACATCGAAAAATACAAATAACTAGACAGGTGTCCACCTACTGTTTTTTGATTACCTGCAGATCGAGTTTGCATATCAGAGACTGTTTACTTATCTCTTGCTGTTTTGATAGTCCATAGAAGAACTTACACCTTGTTCTCTTATTCAAAAGACGTTTTTTTTCGTTACTTGTGATAAGAACTAACTTACGCGTCTCTTAGAGACAAACCTAACATGTGTCAGAAATCAGACCGCTCAACAACATCTGTGGTATTCAGTTTTTGCTACATGATCAAGCCAGCTTTGACGTTTCTACAAGTAAGTATGCGATATCCTGATATGCTCTAGATGGAGTGTGAGTATGGATGGTCTTCTAGATGACACCCACACTCATACCCTATACACGTAATACAATTTTTACTTTATAGATACAATCACGAACGAGCTGTTTCATGCTTTTCAAATCTTATTCGATAACTCTCTTTATCAAATTTTACCGTCGTTAACACTGTCCAACTATAAGAATACAACAATATGATTGATTCATTAGTCAAACAAATTGAAGAGACTCTTAAAACATTCAATTATTGACTTCATGTCGAAAATCAATGGCTTTTTTGTCGTTTCGTAATAGAAAAGATAATAAGTTCATTGATAATAAAATATGTCAATTAGATTGACCTATGTAAAATTTATGCATAAACAGCACCCTGTTGATAAGCAGAATGATCGTATCTTAAAACCAAGACGCCGTATCCAATAAGAAAAATTTGCCGTGAGGAACTTACTTGTGATTGTATAGTTTGATTGATGAGATTCTATAATCTCAATATGCTTATAACTTGATATACCCATTCATATAAGAGTTTTCTCAACTCAAAGCAGATCGAATAATGCATCTCTCTAATTATCATATCTCAAATAATGTCCTTATATTTCTCTACAAGTTCTCACTGTCATCAATACACTGTTTTGGAATTATCTTATATGAAACTCTGATTTCAGGTAGGAATTACCTCAAGGTATGATTCCTTTCCTTATCTCTATATTATTTTTATTGAAGACCTGATGTCTGTTTTCAATGAATATGATACGAAGTTTTATGCAACTATATTTGAAATAACGGAAACAAGTAATCGTGATGGAGGTTGAGTCAGATGTAGATAAAAACAGAGCTCCAAGGCAACAATTATAGAGGAACGATCAAGTATAATTACCAAATTTTGGTGGGTGTGGGTGTGGCGTGTGGGGTGTGCGTGTGGATGTGGGTGTGAGTGTGGGTGTGGGTGTGGGTGTGGATGTGAGTGTGGGTGTGGGTGTGGGTGTGGATGTGGGTGTGGGGTGGGTGTGGGTGTGAAGAAAGGTAAGACACTCAAACCCACACTCACAGTCACGCTCACACCCACACCCACACTCACAGCCACGCTCACACCCACACTCACAGCCACGCTCACACCCAGATGCAATGATGGCAAAGCCTCTGATAAATTGAGTCTTTGTTGATGATCTGACCACTGTAGTCCGAGTGTCCTGTCTCACAAAAGTTTCTGTGCGGCTTTGTCACGACGCCCAGCATTGGACTTACTTGTTTTTGAGCTGAGTGCACCCCGGCGTGAAAAGCATCTTTAGAGCCCTTCTTCTCAAAATTCGACCCACATTGGTTACTGACCGACCTATATGGTTCCAAGTTCAGTGGACCCTGGATGCGTGATTTCTGACCTCTAAATACCCGCTACGACAATTTTGTCGAAAACGCGATTTCCATTGCTTCTCGAATGACCAATGGGATTCGAGTTGAATGGACCTCAGATTAGTGACCTCCAACCTGGAAAATCCCTTCACGACCTTTTCATTCAAACCTCGATTTCCATTGGTTACTGTGTGACCAGTAGGGTATCCGATCTGAATGGACGCCAGATTCATGATCTTCTATCCGATAAACCCTCAGCAACCCTTTTGCTGAAAATTGAGGTCCTCTGACTTCCGTATGATCTTTATGGCAACCCCATCGGCGATTAACTCTTGGTTGGAGGAGGCCGGCTCACAACTTAGGTCAGAACGCGTCCTTCCTAACGGATGTTCTTTTGGCTCTGCAAAGAAACACACAAACTTTCTTTTCGCTACACCCTCCCTACAGTCGAGGGAATAAAAGACGTGAAGCTTGAAGAATACTATGAAAAAACAAAGAAATATGTTAGGCACGTCTGTCTTGACTGTCAAAAACTGCAAAAATGGGCTGGGAAAAACGAAAGTAAATTTGCGATCTCCAAGACAAGTCCGATTCGTGTTGTTTCATGTTTCTACGGGTATTTTCCAACCATGCTTCTGTAACCATTGTTTTTCTTCTCGAGATAATTTTCTTCCGCCATGTTTCCATGTTCCATCGTCCTTCAATGCACTTCCATCTGTGAAATGAACATGAGCGCGGCTGTCGCCAATATTCAAACTTGCTTGATCTACACGACGTACAGTTCTTGGTGCTTGACCTTTGTTTACTTCTTGTTGCATTTTATTCACAGACGGATTAATATTGTTTGAGGATGCCATCTTAGTTTTTTTTCGTGAGGAATAAACTGAAGAAAAAATGCTTTGGATTTCTTTTTATAGTCGCTTCAGACTACTCAGTTGGTTTTTTCCAATCTCATCTAAAAAAAGAAAGGAAAAATACTATCATTACTTACGTTATTTGTGTTGACGATCTGTCTTTGAGATAATTGAATGTGAAGATGAGGGTGTGAGAACAGCTGTCATAATCTAGATTTCACGTCAGCTATGACGATCTTCAGACGGCTTTAAAGATTAATAATGATTTAAACTAAATTTTTCAAATCATAATAAAATCTTACTCAAAACTGTCATACAGTAATATCGAAAAATTGAATACTACTATAAAATCATACATGTAATAGAGTCTAAATTATGGCCGCAGCGGCTGTTGTCGCCTCCAATCTTATATCACGGAACTTCGAATATCTTATGAACTACAAGTTGAAGCATGATTCCAACAACTAGGGACAAGGCTGTAGTGCTACACATAGCTTTCAACAGTGAGCTGAACATCGAGTGAACACAAGAAATATCATCAAATTCTTGGTTGCTTCGAATAAATGTAGCTATCTTCTGGACAGTACTCACTAATAATTGTATTAATATTACAAGCATATTTACTTATATGAAATTCTAGAACTAATAATGAATTTATTCAGAGAACACTTGGAATAATCATTTTTGTATGGAGAACATTGAAGCAAGATATTAAAATTAAAATTGACCACATGGCTTTCATACGACTATATAATATAAACCAATATTACTTGCCAGAATATCAATACAATGCGATATAATATTGAGGACTATTGATTTTAACGATAATGATTGTAGAATATCAAAAACTAAATGAAACTTGTGAATTGTATATAACTAAACAAGCATACCAGTAGAATAAATGATTATTCTTAGAGTCATTCTCTACAAAATGAATGAACCATTCTTGCACGTCAGAACAACAAAATATCATTCCTTTGTTCTCATCAGAAAGATTGCAATTTTGTAGGACAAAATCTTTAGTCTTTCATTGCAATTGCATTTTATCACGTACCCATACATAACTAGTCATGCAATTTTCCCACTAAAAGGAGGTATGCTTTATATGAAATAGTTACACATCAGCAACACCCCCGCTTCACTGATAATGGATATATGTATATAAACGACCATCTCCATTCATCTCTTTCATTTCAACCTTTATTATACCACAAGTACGTATCTTATCTTTCGATAATATATTTTCCTTAGTTATAGCATTCATACTCAAATTCATCATGCCAACAAATATACAAAACAAAACAAACAAACAGAAACAAGGAGAACTGGGCAATACATAACCTACCAATTACCCTCAACAAAGATATTATTTTAATGACTTCAACCTGATCTCATTTTGGAACCTGATTAACAACAAAATCACAGGTATCATTTTCTACTTATTTTTACACCAATCTATATAACCAGAACTTGTACTACAGAAATATATTATTTTAATCAATGGTCTATGGACACGATTTACCCAATAAATGAACACATACATCAACATCTGCAAGATGATTCATCTACTTCTATAACAAAACATAAGACAAAAAAAAAACACCTTCATCTACTTACTTAACTTCTGGTTATTTTATAATCAAACTATCTATACCGACAAACATCGAAACATTAAGACTACTAAACGTGAACTAATACACCATCCAAATATCAAAATCATCTCAATCCACAGCAAATAATTATACTTAAGCAAGAACATCAATTGAACTCAATCCGATAAAATAAAAAGGTTAGTGTTATGCTAAACAGAACGTACTATTTTGTCTAACACTAACATTGATATTCTACCATAAGAATTCAATATTATATTGATAGTTGAGTTATCCTATTAATATAACAGTTTGAATAAGATTTGATTTCAATTTTAATTTAATTAAATGATTATCAATCTTTAAAGCCAACTGATGATCTGCGTAGCGGCAGTGAAATCTAGATTTTGGCAGCTGGTCTCACACCCTCACCCCTCATGTTCATTTCTTAAGTTCATCGAAAACTTGATCAACTGTTTTACACAACTCCGGAATTGCATTTTTGTTTCCAGTGACTACTGTAATAACGGCACCTTCGACTATGGCACCAAATTTTACGACAGGCTTGGTAGCATCCAATAATCCGGTAACAAAATTGGTAGGTGATTGATTTGACATTGGTGTTATTTTTCGGCTAAAAGAAAGCTATGACAATTACAAACTTATTCATTTTTCTTTTTCTTTTTTCTTTTTTTTTCTTTTTTTTCTTTTTTCTTTTTTATGCATTAGTAACGGGTGGGGCAAATGTTTTGCATTAATTTTGTTTTTGTTATAGCTCTGGGACACAATGCCGTAGAGACTTCAGTTTTTTTTTGTTAGAAAGAGCAAAGTGTCTAGTGAAAAAATATATGAAAGAATTTGATTGGAAATGCTTTTCTAAGACCACAGCAATCTTAGAACAGAAGGCGCCAGAAAACTCTTCCGCAACTTTTTTGGACTTAGAAAAAATTTCCTATAATTAGACAGGTTCTCTTTTTTATTCGTCTAATCCAAATTTTATAATGTAAGAGTAGAGCACTATTACTTTGCAAAAAAAGAGATTTTCTACATGTTTTATAACAGAAGAAATGAAGGCTCTTATGATATTGTCTGAGTCACCGACTTTTCATCACTGTTGATAGCGGTCGAAAAAATAAACTCTATTTCGCAATAGAGGTTGCCAGAAGCTATATATTTTATATGAAAAAGAGAGCTTATTGAGTTGTCTATCAAATGATATTATTTGGGATAGGACATCACTTCTCTGTGAGATATTCAGACAAGAACTTGTTTTCGCGCTGCAAAACCAAATTCGAACAATTAATTTTTTTAATCAAATTGTCTTTTGTTCATTCTCTTGTATGCTATATCAATTATTTTAATACCAAATGAAAGCATTCGTTGTACTGAACAAATGTATATATATGGTGTTCAAAAGCATCGAAAGTGGGTAATGAAAAAGCTCAAACAAATATTTTTGGATAAAAAAAATTGACCAAAGTTGTGGAAGAGTTTTCCAAACCTTGTGTTCTAAGATTATTGTGGCCTTCGAAAAACATTTCCAATCAAATTCTTTATATATTTTTGTACTTGACACTTTGCTCTTTCTAGCAAAAGAACAATCAAGTCTCTACAACATTCCATCAGTGAGTTATATCAAAAACAAAATAAATGCAAAACTTTTGTCCCAACCGTTATTTCTCTCTTCCCTTTTCTTTTTTTTTTGATTTCGAACATCAATGCGCATATATGCATATCTGTGCAGAAAAATATCATCAGTGATGTGTGTGTTCTTTCTCTCTATACGCTTCGTGTAGGAATTTATGCTTATTCATCTCTGTTAATCATTAATGTCGCAAGCGCTTCCGAGCGGAGTGACATGTGAAATAAACAGTATAATCAAAAAAAAATTACAAACTAATTTTTAATTTCTTGAAATAAGACAGAGTACTTACCAAAATTTTTTCTGATAGCTTTTGACTGTACGCTGCAAGAATATAATAAGTTTATATAGACCTGTTATTACAAAAATGTTCCGTCGTACTTGGTATTTCTTACTCTCTTCCTCTGATAAAGTTTCTATTGTTGGAAGAAAGAACAAGATTGAATATGCTGTAGATTCTTTCATACACATTTTTCTCTCGTGGTATTTTCCAATGATTTATTTTTTAGAATGTAGTAACTCTGTGCCATATCGGAATAAACCATATATTATTAATAAAAGGAACTTTCTATAATTGTTCTTATCTAACTACGAGATAAATTATGGGAAAGATCCCATGTAAAAAACATTCGGGCAATAATTAGATGATAATCGATTCAAATTCTCCAGAAAGCATCGCTTTTAATCAGTTTCGTCGGCAAAAAATGTTAGAGTTTTTAATTACTTCTTCTGCAGTTTTCGTCAACTTTTAATCAATTATCATCTAATTATTGCCCTAAGGTTTTTTTTACATAGAATTTAATCAAATTACTTTTTATATGTAATATGCTTTCTCAGTACCGCTCTATGTTAGTCATAGTATCAATTAAAACGAATAAACTTTAGACGATAACTTTGATATTACCATTTTATTATCAACGCAGTACTTGTGCGATCGTACAAAGTGAACCAAAATTGGCGTGAGCCAAACTAGAGTCCATAATCCATACTTTACCCTTTTTGAATATAGCACGAAAAAATGATCGTCACGTTTTTCTCGCACTTTGAAGACGTTTGAACTTGTATTTTTTCAAAATTGTTCCGGATTATCTGGACATCTTATCTGTAGGTTTTTGAGAGCTGCCTGGACATAGCTCCTGTGATTTGTTAGAGTTGTCTTAGGATAGTACCTGCAAGTTTTTGAGGGCTATCTAAGGATGGTATTTGTAAGGTTTTGAAAATTATCTAAGGACGACACTGTTAGGTTTTCGAGGACTATCTAAGGATGGTAGTTGTAGGTGTTTGAGGACCATCGAAGGATGGCACCTGCAACTTTTTCAGAACTATGTGAACATAGTATCTGTAATTTTTTGAAGGCTATCTAGGATAGCCCTCAAAAATCTGTAACTACTATCCTTAGATAGTCCTCAAAAACCTAAAAATACCCCCTATTTCAAATCCTGCTCATTCCTTGAGAAAGTCTGGAAGGATCTTTCAGAATCTTGAATCTCAAGAATCTTGCCAGGTTTCATTCAGGATCCCATCGTGAATCCTAATAGTTCTTGTTTCCAGGATTTCACATATTGAAAGAGAATCCTTTCTAGGATTTGTTCAAGTTTCTGCTCAGGTATTTTTCTGAATTGAAAATATAGTTTCATGCCAAGATCTACTCTCGATCCTAATCGGGGTTTTGATAGGAATAGCACACAGGATTCGGTGAATATTTCATCAAATTGTTGTCCAAATCTGTTCTGGATTCTGATACAAGGATTCTGTTAAGATTTATAGCTACATTAGACCAGGATCTTCGCAAGAAGATAACAGGATCAGTCAGAATCTCGAACCGGCAAATCCTGCGAAAGGGTTGATTAGGATCCGATTTTATTCGTTATGCATTCCTATTTTGAGAATCTTTTTGTAACTTTTTCAGAATCCTGTCCAAGGTTTTTCAAGACGAAGCGTTTCGAGTCCTGGCAAGGCAATTCCAAACCAAGTCAGAATCTTGACAGGAAAGTAAAAGGATTTAGTTATGCTCTTCGAAGACTACTGTTTACTCTTTGTAGTCGTTTTCATTTCTTAAGAAAGCCTTAAAGAATCTTTCAGGATCATAAATCTAAAGAATTCTGTCAAGCTTGATTCAGAATCCTTTTTCAGCATTTGTTTAAGTTCTTACTCAGATGCTTTTCTGAATTGAGAAGGCAGGATCTTACCAGGATTTACTGTCCATCCTACTCGTTATCCTGACAACAATAAGAGAAAGGAATCAGTCAAGGTTTTATCAAATTTCAGTGAAGATCTATTCTGAAGCCTGATAGGAGGATCCTGTCAGAAATTATAGTTATATCAGAGATAAATCTTACCATGAAAGAAAAGACTAGTCAAAATCCTAAATTAATAAATCCTACCAAGCTTTGGTTCGGACCATTCTAATTCCTATTAAATATTGTCATGAAGTTTTTTCCTGAACCTTTTCAGGATCCTATGCGGAACTCTTCAAAAACAAGCATTTCGAAACTATACAAGAGAATACCAGCCATCATCGGGATCTTGATGAGGAAATACACGAATCTAATTAGTATCGCTTAGTTATTCCTCAAAAATAGATCTTATGAGAATAAAAATCGAAAAACATCTGACTTCGAACAAAAGAGCTGACGGTTATAAATCTTTTTTGCTGATGAAGTTCCAGTAAAAAATATTTTCAAATTGAAAAGAAAAAAGACGTTGTTTCGCTATTTACCTTTGAACTTTCCCAATTGAGACTTGGTGAAATGAGAGAATGATTTTGAATCTCAACACTCACTTTTATATGGCTTATACTGGGAAAAATGTTCTGCTCCCGCTTTCAAGATTGTTTATTCAACTTAGATTCTTTGAAATTTTGCCACTAACTCAGACCGGCAAAAACGTTGCATGAGATGCTTCTGACGAACGATGCAATAGCGCAAAGAAAAAAAATTGTTATTTTTCTTCAACGATAAAATTCACTCTCCAGGTTACTGCAGAGAGTAATGCTGTAATTTTGAATTGGCAGAATGTTTATTTTAAGTCAGAAGGAAAGAAAAAAAATACCCTTCACTCTTTCTTTCAATTGATGCAATGTTTTAAAAATAAAACATTTTTGTGGTTCTTGATCATCAATAAACTAGTCAACAAATAGAAAAAATGAGAAATGATTGCGTTCGATATTGCGATCATACGCGACGGAGCCATTAGGCCTGGGAGGCTCGAGTCTCTCCTGAATTAGAAAAGCAAAGGCTTCGAGAGACTGAACTTGATTTTTTGTTTATGAAAGACAATCTCCAACAAAGCGATGAAAAGCTAAATAAATAGTCGTTTTTTCAGGAAAAGGATAAAAAATATAACCGCCTTCGACTGCAGTCGTTATCACAATTCTAAGTCATGTCCACAGTTACGTCGGAAAGCATCGTAAAGAATGAGTAAACAAATAAAATTTAGTGATTTTTTTTTCGTTTGTTCACACAGAAAAGAAACAGAAAATGGATGCTTTTGTGTGCAACAGCGCACATATAATCTTGTTAAAAAGTTATACCCAAGTCAATGACTCACGGGCGTAAACAGCCGTATTTGATCAATTATGGTCGTAAAGGATAGCCGTTTACGATAAATATTTACGGCAAAGATGGTACCGGTACCGGTTACCGGCCTGTAATTGGTAGACCGGTAATCGATATTGTTACAATAGTTGAATTTTTTTCTCCATCAAACTGAATACCCGACTATGTCGAAAAACTAGGCAAATGTATCATCTATATGATATAACTTACGAGGGAACATACCGAGGTGTTCAAGCCATTTAGACCCCATCTTTTGGCGACAGATAGACCTCGATGAGGTACGAAAAACTTGAAAAGGATTCATCCCCTCGTGCCTTTGTTCCTGAGTTATGATCGTTTTCCTCGATTTTCGCCCTACTGCAAGGTATTTCGAAAAAACTCAGATGACATATTTTCGATCTGAAATTTCGTCCATAGATAGGTCTCATCAGCACTAGATTGTTCCAAAAGTCTCACCCTCGAGCGGATGTTTCCTTCACGAGATAATGAATTTCGAAGGCAAATCAGTATTTTTTCGAATGATTGATAAAATATAGGATTTTTTAAATTCGATTATCTGAAGAAGAAGCTATTCATTCGGGCTGAGACTTTTGGAACAATCTAGTGCCGATGAGACCTATCTATGGACGAAATTTCAGATCGAAAATATGTCATCTGAGTTTTTTTGAAATACCTTGCAGTAGGGCAAAAATCGAGTAAAACGATCATAACTCAGAAACAAAGGCACGAGGGGATGAATCCTTTTCAGGTTTTTCATACCTCATCGAGGTCTATCTGTCGCCAAAAGATGGGATCTAAATGGCTTGAACACCTCGGTATGTTCCCTCGTTAGCACATCAAACTTGTCACGCGACATCAAATTTTCCATATTTCAACTGGTCTTTTTTCCAGCACAGTCAATTATCGATACATCATTCATTACCGGTAGACCGCTCGGTTGCCGATCCACTGGTAGACCGACCGGTCCGGTCCTGTCTGACTTTTTCAGGCCGATGCCGGTACCGGTCGTCAAAAATCCAGACCAGTTTCATCTCTGGTTTACGGCTAGGGGTCGACAAAGCTGTGTGTGGGTGTGGGTGTGGGTGTGGAGTATGGGTGTGGGTGTGACGATGTATCTTGCGTTGAATCATACTCACACCCACACCCACACCCACACTCACACCCACACCCACACCCACACCCACACCCACCCATACCACTCATCTACTGATGTTATAATTTGTTCTTTAATCCAAAAATTTTGAAGAAGCGCCAGCATTCTTTCAAAAATATGCCACTTGACGTGAGGGAAAAAATTTCTGATTTCATAACCTATGTTTTCGCATGTCAGTACAATTCGCCAATGATCATTAGTACCAAAAAAAATTGTTTCGGCGTTTATTCCATCAATATTTGAGGGAATTAAGATCGATATTTCTCAGGGAGCGTTTTGATGAGTGTGACGAAGAAGGAATGTATGTAAGATTATTTTTTTTCAATCCATTCTTTCAAAATTTTACCACGTTTATCCGACGCTGGACTATTCCATTCTTCTAATGACGCATTAAAATCTCCTGTTATAATTGTTTCTTGCGTTATATACGAATTTAAATCATCGAGGTCGCGCTCTTGACCCTGAGGCCAATATATTCCAATGATTCGAATAGGATCTGAGAGATTAAAAACATCTACGATTATAGTATTTTCGATTTCTGTTTGAACTTGAGTAGCTCTTAAATTTTTTCCTACAGAGACACACACGCCACCACTTCTGTTTGTACCTAGTTGATGAAAAGTATTAAAATTAGGTATAGAAAACTTATTCCATAATTCTCCAACTTCTGTTAAGACACTAATTGAAGCATCAACTTTATAGACTAGATCTACTACTTCTAAATGACGTGTACCCCAGCCTTCCACATTATAGCATAGAATGTTCAGAGAGACTTTTCGGACGGTAGATACTTATTGTTATACTCTTCCCACTGCTGTAACACTGAAGATAATGTGATTGTACAGTACCACTCATCTAAGATGCAGCAAGTAAACTCATTGTCTTTTTCTGTGAAGTTCCGCTTATCTAAATATGATAATGATTGCGTCTTTCTTTCTGCGTCTTTCGTGTGAAGAGATAAAGGAAAAAAAAACCTTAGCTGTTGGCTTGAGAGTTGAAATCACTTTCATTGAGTAATTGTATTGCTTGATGCAGCTGATGAGATCCTATCTTTGCTTGTTAGGCCTTCTTTTTACACGTCGGGAACTTGCTTCGATAATTTATTACTTGTACCAGCTTGTAACTCTTCCAGAATACTTGTAAATGGTAGATGTTTTCTTTTTCCTTGTATTTTCTCTAACTCACATAGAGGGCTCACCATAATCTCCATTACCTCACGTATTGAGTATAGCGTATTTTTCATAGTCTTCTGTAGTAGCTCTAAGACTTCCGCATCGTGTTTCCTATGCAAATCCATTTCTTCAAACTTTTTCTCCATTCGAATATTTGTTTCAGTAATAATTGACAATTGATTAGTTAGTGGTGTAAGTACACCTGTTATCTCTGTATATTCAGCTGTTGTTTGATGCTTTGGTAATTGTTTTGATCCCCAGACCGGTATGTTGTTGCGATTGGGATGAGATAGAGGCGGAAAGTCGTTTAGATCGAAAATTGATACTTGTTTAGTTGGTTCTAATCTTTGTATTACATCACGCGCGAGTGCGTTATCGACTTCTTCTTTTAGTTGTATTTTATATGCTTTTATAGATTCACATTGACTACTAAGTGAATGGTGGTTACCATCACATTGAGCACATCTTGGTTGTTGAAAGCAGTTATGTTTTTGAATATCAGTAATTTCTTGTAGACATATTCGGCAGCGAGCCATTGTAGCTAGACATTTATTTCTCATATGTCCTAAACACCAGCAGCGAGTACAGTACGTTAATTTGTTGCGTTCTAAAAATCGTGTAATTGATATTACAACATTGCCAATAGATATACGTCTCATGTTGAGCGCTCAATTATACTCTTGTAAGTCTTTAACGTGGAAGCGATAATCATCTGTTGTTCGATTATATGAATAATGAATCCTCTTTAGATTTACGATTGATGCGATTGATCGTCATACTTTTTCTTTTACAAATTCATAATCCATACCGCGTGGTACGTATCTGATGACTAATGCAAAACAATCGGGAATAAACTTCGGTTTTTCGATTGTTATTGGTATATTCATAATACTAGTAGGCCATTCTTCGGTTGATATAAGATTAATATAGTCTTCCTTGTCATTTGCTCCCAACTTGATCTTTGATTCTGCCCATCCTACGAAACTAAATCGATCAATTTGTACGTTTTTTTGTTTTAGATATTCAAAAACTTGATCTGCTGCCTTAAAAGCTGATGGTACTTTTTGATCTGTATTTGTAGGGTGAAATGACATATAGAAACATGGAAGATTGCTTGAAACAGCCCGTTTCACTTGATCAAAATGAATCTTGTGTTGCTTCACGCATTTTAATGTTGTATCCACCTGTTGACTATCACCTGGTGCATCTAGTATTATTTCATTTTCTTGAAATTGTTCATTACCTGATCGTTGTTGTTTCGGTGTTGGTAATCCTCCTGATTCAGCACTATCATTTAATCTGTGCTTGTTTGGCGTTGATGCATCTTGTTGTACTTGTAGTCTTGATTGCATCTTTTTAGATTGATTTAGTTGTTTGTGAATTACTGGTTTATTTGACGAAACCTTTTCATAGTACGGTGATACATTGTGTCCTGTTTTTTGAATTCGACATTGTGCTTGTTGTTGTTGACAAAATTGTAAGAAATCATTTAACAATGATTCATCGTTTGCCAATGCACTTACAATGTATTCTCGTTGTACGCCAAGATCATCATTATGACCTGATTCCATATTGGAAGCTTCTTGTAAATTTATCTGCTGATTGCATGAGTTATTAATCAGAGACCGTTTATTTCCTACGTATCTTCGTTCACCACTTGAATAGTAGTGATAATTAGTTTCCATTGTGTGTCAATTACCTCACTCCGATGGAAAGATAATAGTACTTACAAAGGAATGTAAGCAAAATTGCGATGGTCTAACTCGGACGAAGACGAAAAGAGAAGTGTTTGGTATGAGATTAAGAACAGAGTATAAAAGATATGGACGTTCATATTACGTATATATTGTGCTAATAATTGGATGACGAACAACTTCTTTCGTTATTGATTTTCTCACAAAATCATGAATTTCGTAAATGATAAAAATTTATTTTCATTAATGAAGTTCTTCATTTGACAACTATCGCATCAATATCAGTCCTAAAAAATTAAATCATTGAAAGTCAAGAGCCTTCTTTATTCTGCTCAGATAGTTGTTAATTACTCATTGATTGATCTAGACCATGTCATATATAGTACTACTCTGACAAGACTCGTTTGCTTACACGACTTTTCATCTTCGTTGATCACTACAATAAAAGACGTATGAAAGAAAATATTTGTCTACTTCTGTAATTGAGGAGTCTAATTTTTCCTATAAGAAAATCAATATCACCAAAATTAGTTTCCATCATGAGGTACGAGAACTACGTATATATAAAATTGTGAGATATATTGCTCATGATGGAAAATGCCTAAATTCTCTTTGATTTCGAATCAATTATTTGATGCGACCAAATTAGAAGAAAAAGGTAGCCATTTTTTCTAATGTGAGTTGAAGTCAATGAATATCGTTTTAACATTTAGACGTATGTTAATTGAATAATGTGAAAGAACGCTATCTTTTCTTTGAACAGAAAAAAAAACAATAAGAAAATTCACAATGATAGAAGCGCTCACATGCAGAGCACACACATGAATGCTATCATAGATAAATTAAAAATAAATTATTTGAAGAAAATGTCTAACAATTTCTGCACATGTTGCGAGTTGTTAATAACATATTCATGATTCATCCACCACCAGTGATTAAGCTCACAAATACAATCGTGCACTACAACAAAGACAGGTAAATAGTTTTTCCTCAACAAAATAAAAGAAAAACATACCTTCAGGAATCTTCAATCGTTGAGCAACTATTTGCTCGGATACTCGACGAACGAACAATTTGAAAATATCCTAGATGATTCAAGTTACAATGAAAAGTAAGAAAAAGGATTATGTCATACCCTATTTGCAAATCTATCATAGTATTTGGTAAAATTGTAACGAATCATATCAACAATATTTTTAGGTGGTACTGAACGATATTGTAGTTCAGAAGGTGGAATATCATCCGAACGACGTATAGAAGGAGAAACTGCATTTCGATGGCGATATCTAACAAGAGAAATAATTTTTATTGATACTGCAGCTCGGAGAGCATAATATATCTCCTCTTCCTTCCGAAAAAATAGATAGAATACTGCTTTGTCAGTCTTTGTTGGTACACGATGAAATTTATAATATTTCAACTGTTGTTGAAGTTGGCCACAACGAACACTATTCGGTATATCAGATGATGAACAATTGTTTAATTCTAGTCGGTATTCCATTCTATGAAATAAATTAATCAAAAATAGTTCAATAGATCTCGATTCATGAATGCATATATGCATTTAGGTAACTTTGTAGGCAGTTTTTAAGATGCTATCAACACTATTGCGATGTATCTCTTATTTGAAAAGTGATGTTTAGCATTTAAAAACCATTAAGAGCAATCTGATGTGTAGCGACGAAAAAAGATGTGATATATTTTTGAGAGAAGCTGAATTTTAAAAATGCATCTATTGGCTTAAAAAAACTGTTGTTGATTTTTTTTCAATTGTATAAAGTAGAAGTTTTGGTATTTAGAAAGATTTCCTTCCGTTTAAAAAGAATCTCTTAACATTGACTATGAATTTTTTTATCCCATTCACTCCACGTTTGGTATTTACAGATTTTCACGTATGTAGATACAGTCATTTCAAAAAAATCTTGAGAATAGGAAAAAAAACATTTTTCATGTATTAAAGTCATACAACTCTGATCAATTACAATGAATAAACTAAATAAAACTAGTGAAGTTTTCAATAGACGCTATAATATTAAGATTATTAACGATTATAGATGCATTATTTCAAAACATGTTAAATCGATTTTTTTCATTAGTTCTTTTTTTTTTACAAAGATATTCTCTGATCTGATAACATTTGCTTTGATACCATGACTAATGAATTCATGCTGTGCAATTCTATACGCTATTTCTAGATCATTTGAGAATTTATTACAGATGTTTTTTTTTCATTCACCTAGTGAGATCGTTTTCTTCTTAAGAGAAAATTATTTTAAAAAGATAATGCCATAAAAGACTCATTGTCCTCAACGGATCAATAGCTTACATTCAATTAAGTTTGCTTGTTTTATGAGCTCTTGTAAAAATGAAAAGATGAACAGTTAAAGAGAATAAAGCTGTTACGTTTATGATGTTGTGAAGCAGGTAATATTCGACGGCAGTAATGGTTATTGAAATAAAGAACTGACGGCAACCGTGACGATCGACAAGCGTAACGAAAACAACTGATACTAAAAATGATTGATCATTTTCTAGCTTTCAGAACTTAATTCAGAAGCAATCAGTTACATGGATTAAAGAATGAGTCATTCAACACCATCTTTTTCTTTGAAGATGGCTATTACGTTTTGAAAATCGATTTATCATAAAACGAACTAGTTTAGAAAAATTGTCATATCATTTGATGGATTGTTTGCTTTCATTAGTGTCCCAATTTGAATGTATTGCAAGGAATGAAAGTCCTGTAAAAAAATCTTTTTTATGATAGAATACCCCTCTCTGAAAAATTATAAGAAAAGTTTTACTTTTTAAGAAAAAGCCACTTGTAAGAATTTCAGTTTACACAGTCTTTTATTTGAAGAGAGTAAAAAAGTATAAAAATACAGAATTTACTGCTTTTGAATAAGATCGATGAAGTCTTTTCAGAAAAAAAAACTACTTTTATCTTATTTATTTTAGTTTTTTTTTAAACTTCTGACAAATTTAGTAAAGATTAATGGACATATAGTATCAACAAGATTCCAAGAAGATATTTTAAATCACCTTTTTCATGAAGTGAACCAACGTGAACCACAGCTGCGTACAAATTTTAGAAGAAAAAGTTATCAGCAGCGAAATTTTAATGGGTTTTCGAATTTTTGTAAAATTAAAATTTTAAGCAATTCTCTTGTGTAGAGTCAGACAAGAATGGCGGTCCAAGAAAATACTCAATTATATTCGAACTTTGAAAGACCAAGCCATCGATGGATGTTATTAGAAAGCCCTAAGATGTTATCAACATAGTCTCGTACAAAACACAACCTAGTTTAAATGAAACCGATGGCGTGAGTGAAGAGTTACATATTTCAATTACTAATAATGTCATCGACAATATCGGCATCAAGCTTTGACATTTAACCAACAGAACCTTTCTTTCGTGAAATATGCATCGTTCAAAACACTTATTAATTAAGCATATTAATTTTAATTTGTTTTGGAAAGACTCACTCATAAATATTGCATTGATAATTAATTGAATCAATCTGTAAATGTTTTTTCCTTTTCTTAGGCGAGTTATTTTATATGAAAATGACATTTAACAGTAAAAAGAAGTAACTGGTAAGTGATTTTACTAAAAAGAATGACTAGGTGAGCACATGCGAGTATTAACGATTTTAGTAAATCGATTAGATCTTGAATGGTCACCATCTAACGATCATATATTGATTGAATGTTATTTATTCACCAATTGAAAGTTCATTGACTTCGTCTTACGTCACAACAATCCTTTTTTTTCATTTTAGAGTTCAAAGGATTTTTTATCGATGACATGTATCACTTGGAGAAGACACTTGATTATTGACAACAAGGGCTTATTGAACTTTCTTGAGGGTGCGGGTGGGGTGTGTGGGTGAGTGTGGGTGTGAGAGATTAGAATACCAACACCCACAACCCACATCCACCCACCTACACTCCACATCCCGAAAAATATATTTCTAGTATCAATATAGGTAGTTATCATACCGAACCTAGCTAATCTGACTTTTGTAGGACTTCGAATTTCTCAACGTAATTGTCAAAGTTTTAGAATAAATATTTGAAGTGAAAATACAAAAAAAAACTTTTCTGGAAGACCTGTAACACTTCTCCTGTTTAAATTCGAAGAGAGCTACAAAATGGTTTAGCTATTTTTCGTTCAAGAATAAAATTCTGCATTGAATATTATGAGCATCAGTGTTTTGTATGAGAAGTATGCCTGTGAAAAGTAATATTTTCAGAAATGCACACAACATGTAAACTCCATGTTGGTTCGAAGTTCTTTTCTTGCGAGCAAGAACTTTGAAGATTTCGCTTCAACACAGGTTTGAATTAATTATTTTTTTAAATATGAGCTACAAGGTTATAAAAGAAAAAAGGTAAAACAACAGAGGGTGGGTGTAAGTGTGGGTAAAAAAAGACGGAGCCTTTCTATTAAATGCTTATATTAGAAAGTGAAATGAAAGAAAAATGGTTTTTAGAATAGCATCCATGTCAAAGAATTGAAGGTTATTTTTTTGAATTCAAGAAATGTTTCATAATGCAAACTACTTTCTATCAGTGTCTCACCTTTGAAGAAAGACTTCAAACAATTTTCTATTACTGACAAAAGACTCAATCAATTTGACGAGATCAGACTCAAGGTATTCAAAATTATTATCAAAAGGCTACTCGTGGGACACTCGATAGATTAATTCGCTTTTAAATTGTTTTGGCAGTTTTCTAAACAAGGAGCAAAACAATAGCGAAGCTATCTACTCGAATCGAGCCTCTATGTCCTATGAATCCTGAAAAGAAAATTTTCAAAGACTGAAGAGGAAAGTGATGGCAAATTATACGGAAAAACGGATGAAAACTCTTTT